GGTCGCCCCGCCCTAACGGTCTCTCCACGTTGCTCACCTTGGGGCGCCTCTCGCTCGCAGTCGCGCTTCGAGGCTGCCCATCTCTTGGCTTAACTCGCCCCCCCGCCAGCGACAATGCAAACAAATAATGCCCGCGTGGTCGGCATTTCCACTTCAAAACACAAGCCAAGATTAAATGGTAACAGTATATGCTCTTACAGAGTCGTTTCCGTAAGTGAAGAACAGCTGCACTTAAGGAAAGTGCAACTTTCATCACTTCACTGATCAAGCTCTGACCACTCAACATAAGGAACAGGCACAGAGAACATCTAATTTCTAAGAGAGGCAGCTCCACTTACAGACTTGAAAATCACTCTATGTTCCTGCTGCTTTTATTGATCTTGTCAGGTAAGAGAAAAGGAAACGTAGATGCATTCTAGCACACTAGACTAGCTAAACATAGCACACTATTTCCTTTCTGTGGGCTTTTGGATCACAGCAGTGTGCCTGAGACAAATACTTGAAAAACAAAACCCAAGCCAATTCCTGTGTATGCCTAAATACATATATTTCAATTTTCAAAATTATAGCCGGTTAGAAAAGAGTAATTAAGTTTTGGGCAGACCCCAACATTCAGCTGAGCTTCTGATTAAACTTATCTCTGTTTAGAAAAACTCCTAAGAGCTATTTAATAAACAAAGGACTGTGTGCAGTTACATGCAGATAATTTTTTTAGTCACTTATGTTTTAGTATTTCCTGAGGCCCCAAGCAATACATGGGCTCAGTACAATATACAAATAGTATCCCTCTCAGTCCTGTGTCCAGCAGTCTTTAGGTCACAGAGGAATAGCTTATTTCTCAAAGTTTTGTGAGAACACAATTACTTGAAGTACAGCAAAGGCAAGGAACAATATTATAACAACAGTTACACAGCCTTGTTTAGGTGAACTCTAAACTTAGGCCAATACTCTTAGCTTGCACACTGCAAATATAAACTTATTTTTTTCTTCAAAACTCCTATTACACGTTTTTTTTTTTCCCCCACCCTTTCCTGTTTTCATTTTGCTGGACATCACTTTTATGTTACATAGTTTCAGATCCTTTATTAAAAATAAGGAATCAAGCCAGATATTGGCAGCAATTAGCACATTTAATAGGTGTCTGGAATCACTTTGGAAGCACCTTGATTATTTGAAACTGAATTTCAGACTTAGAACATTTTTATTTTATGGAAAATCACTGGTATGCTTGGCTTGAAATTTGAATTTGTCTAGCTACAAGATGCAGAATCCAAGAGTAAGAGAGAGATATTGGACTTTGCAGAAAAATGCCAACATTTCAGATTTTAAAACCTGATAGTTGTTTCTAACAGATGAGAAGATTCATTTAACTGGAAGCATTCACTTTTCTTTCCTACCTCTGTTATTTACTTCTTTTTCCTTTTGTTCGGCTGTTTTGCACCAGCTTCTCTTTCTCTACAGTACTATGTAGCAGAAGAGGTCTGTCTTTAAAAATCCTGTTTTGCAATTACACAGATCACTATACAGGCTTTTGTTGTATCTAGAAATACAGATACAAAAAAGAAAAAAAAATAACAGGAGTTCTGAGCAGCTACAAGTCACATTAAAAATTAGTTAGGCATATAAATTCAGTCTTTAAGCATGATTTTTTTTATTCTTATTTAGCTTAAAGGCGTTAGGGGAACCTAGCTTAAAGAGAAATCTTAATTAGAAAAGTCTAGCAAAGCAAATGAAATTTGCTTGTGTTCTCAACTCATTCTGCTCATTTTGACTTAAAATTTGCTAAATATCAATTACTCATCTACAGTTTATGCTTTGTATCAAATTCTGCTCTTAGATGTAGAGGGGAAGAACAATTTACCTTAAAGGCATGAAAATACCAATCCCTTTCAAAAGCACATTTAGAGGGGTACAGACAAAAAGAGGGAAAATCATCACAGAAAAAACAAAACAAAACAAACTAGTACTTTATTGTTAAGGAGAAAAGAACCCTATTATTTCATAAAAGGCTCTCCTTAAAAAAGGAGAGCTTTGTAAAAATTATTTCATACTCTGCTATTAAAAATGCTGTAACGAACATAACTGTACTGTAGCGCACAGGCTCACAGAAATGGCTTTTTTCCCCCTTAAATAAACCATATTAATTTTTGAGTGCAGGCCCTCATTACAAATGAGGAAAGAACTTATGAGGAAGCAGATCTGTCCTAGCTTGGAAAAGAAACATAAATTCCTTGTTGGACAGTGATCTCAAAACAGGAGGCAACTACTCAGCTAAGATGCAGAACAGGTTCCTGAGGCAGTTAGACATGCTTCAGCCTAGCTTCTGACTTCAACAGAGCTAGAGCAGTGCCATCCTGCTCTTGAAAATTTGAGCAAAAGCTGGGGAAAAAAGGCTTGCTCTAACGGCTTACAAATGTTAAGCAAATGTGTATTCACCATGCATTCACAAAGTATCATCAAACATATATTCAAGGTATATCCAAGAATATATGCCTTGCAAATGCATGGTGAATTAAATGCATGTTTGTAGGCTATTTCCTTTGCTATTAACACAAAAAGATTTAACTGTACACTCCCAAGTACCTTTGTTAAATAAATGTACCCTTAGAATCTCTGCATGGATTGCCCTAATCACATTGTATCTTAGTTTATTTTCCAGCTTATAAATGGTTAATATTTTGAGTACGCCCTATGTCGTACTTGTACAACAAGTGTTATGTTTTCCCCAGAGAATAGGTTCACTGCTGTGAGCAAACAGGCCAAGAAGCAATGCACATGATGACTCCAACGTAGTTACTATTCCTTAACAAATTTGCTAAGGAATTAGTTGTTACTAATCCATTACAGTGCTTTTGTGATGCTTGCCTTGTATTTGGACTCTTGTATAGAAAATATACTTTTTCCTGTTTATATGAAAAAGCAAACACAAACCAAAGAAAGAAACATAACAAAACAAAAAAGCACTAACAATGAAGAGATAGGCAGCATTAATTTCTAAAAGTTTACAGGGCCAAAAGTCACTGGCCCTTTTAGGAACTCTTCCAAAAAATAGAAAGTAGACTTAGACCTAAGATTTGAATTATTTGTTAAAGATTATTAGGAACAACATGAAGCTACCACCATCTTTTGAAAGCAGATTTTTTTTTTTCTTTAGGAACACTACAGAATTTAAGCTAGTTTATTTGTGTCTGGGAATTGGTCCAGATTAGCCTAAGTTTATCTAGTGGGTTAAATCTACACAATGATTAGAAAGAAAACTAAAACTATCAATTTAGACTTGGATATCGAATGTATTTCTGTTGTGCTTCTATTTTACACAGTTTTAAAGAAATTTCACACACAAAAAAAAGTTATTGCAATTTACTGGTGGTTTTGCACTGATATTTTTTTCTACTATACATTTTGAATAGAAAGCAATCTGGCATTTACTCAAGCTCCATCCAACACAAGAACAAGAAATCCACACTGTGGATTTTTAAAGGAAGAATTATGAATGTGCAGAAAAAAGCTCTACCCTGCATAGCTAAGAGTGTTTATTCCCTGCTGCGATTTATCATATCACATACTAATTAATTGTCAAAGGCCTGCAAGTCCTGTTTCTGGCATTTTTCCTCTAGTTCAACCCACATACAGCCTATATTTGGGATTTTCAGAGGTTTGAGGTAATTAGACAATAAATACCCATACAAAATACAACAGAAATTAATTTACTTACTATTTAGGAAATTAGCTCCTGTACTGTGGGATTTTTTTTTTTGGGGGGGGGTAATGTTTTGCATATTTTGCACACTTTTTTTTACACAGTAGTACATTAGGTTTTGGAGTAATGGAGTTTTGCAGTGAATAGCAAATCAGCAGACCTGTATCCTGTGAGTTGCAAACCTGCATGAAATACTTGCCGTGCACGAGACTTACCTGGCAAGAGTCAATCCTGAATGCTCTAACACACCACATGCTCCATAGCCTCTGCCTTCAAACCACTAGAGATCTACTTCTCTGTACTGCAGATCATCTTTTCGGGAATCAAGTAACTGCCTCCAGTAATTAAACCTGGTACTCCTTTTTGTCCTCCGCAACAGAAGAACAATATATTTTTAATCATTAATTGCCCATTGATCTTGCCTACAAATTTGTTACAAGAAAAAATATGATGCTCTGAATACTAAGCCTTCAGAGTGCACTAACAAAAGTATAATTGGGCAAAAAATGCAGCATCAAGAGGATTGAAGCTATTTGCAAATTTGCATCACATTCAATTAGTAGCTTGGCCAAAGGAAAGAGGAAAATTTAAAAAAATTGTTTACTGTATTTAAAGAGAAATGAAAAAGTGAACTTTTCATTCAGAAGTACCTTTTCTCCAGAACTTTCTATTTTTAAAGGATTAATAAAGGGTTTAGCAACCTGAAATCAAAGCAGCATTTTTAGTTTCCATTTGGGGAAAAAAAAATACAAAACAAGAAATCCTAATGACACCATGGGGTTTGACATTTTTCTATAAAAACTGAACACGTTTTCAAGTTAACTCACACTGATTATTTTAAAAAAACAGAAAAAAAATGCACCTAGTCAACACTTCAAGTCAGTCCTTATTTAGCAAGGCTCCCACCTGTAATTTACCAACAGCAACAAAAGCAATTGCCCACAACATAACATGAACAAGCCCAGGGCAGCTATGCTAGCAAATAAGAAAAAGGAGAATTGTCCTGTTTAAATATCCTAAGAAACCAGTTCTAAAAAGGAGTAAAGAGAAATGCCTCTGTTGATATAATACATGTATACATTTATAAAGGGATAACTTGAAAATCTAGTTTGTAGGTAGTTTTACTTCTTGGTAGGAGACTGATGCCCAAAACCAATCTCAGGCATGGTTGGAAGGGACCTCTGGAGGTCATCTAGTCCAACCCCCCTGCACACACAGGGTCACCTAGAGCACGTGGCACAAGGCTGCGTCCAAGTGGGTTTTGAAGATCTCCAGAGAAGGAGACTCCACAACTTTTCTGGGCAGCCTGTTCCAGTGCTCTGTCACCCTCACTGTTAAGAAATTTTTCCTTAAGTTCCTGTGGAACTTTTGGTGTTTCAGTTTGTGGCACCATTACCTCTAGTTTTGTCAGTGGCCACCAGTGAAAAGAGGCCAGCACCATCCTCTGCACT